ATAGAGATTGTTTTATCTGCTGCACCTATGACCAACGGGCGAAATAAATAGAAATTACGTATGGAAACGCATTTAAAATTAGCGGACACATCTATGAAAACATGAATTATTTTGTGGTGATCTTGAATGCTATCTAAAGCCTGGTTTCCTTAAATCGCTTCTTTGTCACTACAAATAAAATCAAATTATTGGAAATCGCTTTTGAATCAGCGGCACAGATGCATTGATGGTGCATCACTTACACAAAACAAAAAAAGTTACATACAATGCAATCAATTAGATATACTACATACTACAAGGATTTAAAAGAAATTGAAAATACCGGGACCGTAAAACCATTGTGTAGGGTGTGGATTTGCATATTTAACATATTAACCTTAATTTTAATTTTTGTTTTTAATATTCCCTGCATATTTTATCAAAAATGCTGTGTACAATACCGCTTACTTCATTTGAGATCATTGGCATAACAAAAGTACAATCTTGACCCAATATCAAGTAAAGTTTTAAATCAGAGTCACTTGATGAGAACACGGTACATACACAAAAATTATAATCCTGAATCAGTAAGTAGCTTGATTCGACGTAGTTTCAATCCAAGAAGACAACCAATATCCAAGGTAAAAAGTATTTAGTATGGCCAAGTCATTTTAAAATGTCATTGAGTTAAATGGTGCAATATTTGTGCCAATGGTGTACAGCTTACTGTCAGGTCCTCTGATTAGCTTAATACATTGATATTCAGGAATGGTGCACCAGGTAGATGGACAATTACTGCCACAAACCACAACGAGAACCAGTAGAACTATGAATTTTACCTTTGGAAACGAAATAGATTGCTTGTAACCTAATATCTGAGCAAGTCCCATAGGAAATTTTGGAAGCAATTACGCTCAAGTAGTTAAAAATCACGCCGTATAATATAATATACAGACAGCAGCAAACTTACTCTCTTTCTTCTATAGTATTTTATCTTTCTTGTTTTATTGTAATAGGGTTGAGCACCACAAACTTGAACCTTTTTTTTCTATTATAATTCTAAAATATACAGTATATTATGTTTGCAACTTCTCCCAGCTGGATCCCAAAGACTCTGTAATCATTTATTTCTAAACTGAAATTTCATTTTATTGCGGTACAATACGTGTTGACTTATAATAGTATTTTGTAACATTTAGCTTTCTACAGCTTTTTTTTTCTTTCTTAACTTCAAACTTGTATATAAATTGATTAATCAGTAAGATATTCTTTGGTACTTTTTTCTGAGGCCTATATGTTATAAGACAGTAAATGTACATATTGATTTTAATTACTTTTTTTTCATTTTAATTTATAAACACCATTTTAACTTGTACATACAAATTAGCCTATATATAGACAAATTAATTTAATGCTATAATTTATTTATTTATTTCCTGTTTTTGTTTTTAACAGTTAATTTCTTTTCATTGTATTTTTTGTAAAGTGATGTGTTATTATTTAGATTACCGGTAATTTCCTAAGACTGGGTTGCTGGCTTTCGAGCTAAAGTGTCCATCACTATCATCAAACCTAGCAATCTTAGTTATTTTACAATTTGTTTTATACTGTATTGTGTATTTGTTTGGCTGAATAAATAAAGAATGAATGTTGGTAGAGGCGTGAGTGACAATACCTTCCTAAAAATAAGGTCTAGACCACTAGACCTATTAGTATTACAGTATTTTTTGTAATCCTAAATATTTCTTCATTCATTAATTCATTCATTCTTTCATTCATTCATCCATCCATCCATCCATTCATGGATTGAGCACAAATTTGTGAACGTAATTCAATCGAAAACTTAAACAATTTCCCTTTTTATTGTCCATCTTTACAACATATACGTGATGAACGTCTTAAACAATTTCAAAATGATCTTGAAACATGGGGATTATCATCCTATTGCAATGTATTTTATGATGGGTCTAATGAGTGTAAATGCCACTTTGGTAATTTACCTAATGTTTATCCTAATAATAAAGTTAATGAACTTTTTCATTTTCACTGTAAACAATTAATTGAATGTTATATAAAAGAAAGGAATATTTTGTTAACTAAGTTACCAACTCAACTAGAAAACATATCTAGACCTTTTTAATGATTATTTAATGTGTTTTAATTTTATATTTGTACAGGTTTATAAATGTATTAAATTTTAATTGTTTAAAGTTTTGTTTAAGATTAACTAGACCTATTGGTAAACATTCTTTTGTATTTACAGAAGTTTTTATTTTATATTTGTTTAGTATTAAGATATTTCGGACGCACCATAAAACATTTTTATATACAAAAATTAAGAATTATTATTGAATTTGAATTGCAGGGTTCATTATTGTACGGTCGTATAAAGTATCAGTTTCATTTCAATATTTTTGTTAAATGTATTAACATGAATTTGGTAAATGTATATACTATTTTTATTATTTTTGTACATCAGGTCTATAGCTACGTGGAAGAAATCAATGAGACCAATATACTCAAATATTGTGTATTTTCTCGGGCCACAAGAGCTGCCCAATATCAAGAAATTAAATAAGACTGTATACATTTATATCTGCTTTCATTGCGGTCAGAAGACCGATATTTTTGGGGGCTGCATATTAATTTATCTGTGAAGCTGGCTTGCCCGAATGAAAAGAATTTAAGCCCACACTTGAGAATGACTGACCATTTTTTAGTTG